AACCGAATAGATCGATCAATTCAGCTTTTCTCATTCGAGAATATCCATCTAGACCACGTTGTTTTGCCAAAGCTTTCAACTCTCTGACTAAAACCATTGTGGTATATATACAAAATAAGACATTTGTCTAAATGGTAATATTTCCATATTTCTTATTGTCCCCAACCTATTCCTCTTGTTGATGTAATCTTAATTCCTAGCGTAAATAATCTGCTTCCTAACCCTATCAGCGCCGTGTTTCTTACATAAACAATAATGACATCTGACACCTATCCCACATACAGAACACGTATAATTTACATTTCCTTGTCTGATGTAAAAAGCGTGAGTACCAGCGTGAGTACCGCAATATACACCAACACATGGTTTCTGACATTGAATTGGCCTCGCCATGAGTATATATCTGCACAGATTCATGATTATACACCTATCATTCTTCCCCGCCCTTAAGGCGGGGGAGTATACGGGAGAGGTTAATTGTGGAGCATGTAAGTCGACATGTTGGTTTCTTTGAAATTTCAAGCCACACAGTTACCGATACGAAACATACAAATCATGTGAAATGTGAGTGAAATGTTGATGTTTATCTTTTCCAGCAATAAGAGATACTTCAAAATCATCTTGCTATTCTGAGACTTAGTCACTTTTCGTAATGCTGATAACCCATGAAATTTGTTCATTTTGTTTTTAAAAGAGCTAAAAATGATCCCATTTGGCTAAAGTTAACCGGTCTATATTTTGTAAGAATAAACTATTGCGCATTGAGCGATTATCTATGGGTATAGAAGTGATAAATTCACGCACTGACCTTGCATTGCTGTACATCGTATCTTATTCAAGCTGTATCACTGAGAGTGAGTGATTATCTCCCTTACCCGAACAGTTCAATTGCGCACTACCTTTGCAATGTATCGTATGTTATTCAGGCAGCCATTGAGAAACGTTCCAGGAAGCAATTTAGGCCAAGCCTGTCACGCTCACTCAATTTTCACACTGCTATTGCAACATATTGTTCAACATGATTAAATAACAGGCTTCTATAAAGTATGACTTTCTTCAATAAACAACACATGTAAAACAACGGGTTTGATATGAGAAATTTTTTATTAGTTGTCTTCATAATCACATGTATGGCGCTTTCTGTGCATAGTTGAGCACAGCATTGTTTTAAATACTTCACTGTATGTAATGTATGGTACATACCGTTTCATGCGGCGGTTTACGTTTCTGCACCGTTTATTGCTTTGACAAAAAAAATTAACTTCCAGCAGAGATCATACACACGTATATGTTCTTTGCTTCTGGATACATAGGAAATCAACAGGTTGGTCTGTAGTTTGCAATTATTTTCCAAAAAGATAATACGGGTTGCATGATATCTTCACGATGTTTGGGTTGAACATAGTACCATTCTTCTAAACAAATTTCCAATCTAAGCAATCACAACACAAACCCAGTTAACCAAACGGAACCATACACAAGAGTGAGTGAGGTAGTTTGGTTTAACGCCGTCTTGAATAGTATTCCGTGTCAGCTTGAAGTGGGATGAAAGTCTGAAGTGATGCAGGTCTTAGACGTTCACCAATTGGGGGAAAGCAACGAGCAAGGGTTTTGTGCTGACAACAAAATCGGGGCGAACCGAGATTCAAACACACTGTCATAGGTTTCTGGCGTGCCCAAGGGACACAACTCTGCATAGCGAATTGCAGCGCCTTCGGCGACTGGGCCAACCATGCCCCCGTAAACAACTGTAAGAAACTATTATACAACAAAGATGTTTTAAATGAGATATGTATTGCGGAACATTCCATGAAGAAACAGTGGCAATATTGCACAATCACAAACTACAAAATACATGCACAATAAACGACAATTAAAAAACACAGGAACATTCAACATTCAAAAGAGGTAGAATTTAATTTCTAAAACAAGTGTTTTATAATGATATGGAAACAATATGAGAATTGAGCAAAATTATGGTAATGTTGTACATACATGTACAAATCATTTGTTTGTAATTGTTGATATGTTAACAGATCTTGGAAGTTGTTTCTGGATAACTGTTGGTAAACTTATTAAGAATCTGCTCCTTTTAACAGAGTGTACCAAATTCTTTATCATGATTGGGGATTATTTGTGATTCGCTTTCTTGGTTGTATTATGTAAGACAGTGCGTAATGTTGTTCATCTTCTGAGACATCACATGTTTCACAGAGACGTTGTTCAAATGGGGTTGGTGTTTTTGTATATCTACAATTTTTTCAATTTTTAGTTTGTGATTACTTAAATGAAGTTTTGAGAAAAGTGACCTATGGCCTTTGTTTTTACAATATGTAAGATAATTCTCAATATTTATAGATAACGTGATCAAACTGTATGTTCCTAACTTGCTGCTAGATAAATGGGAATCCATTAATGAATGAGTGAATTTTTACATTTGAACTGAAGTATATTTAGAGTGTATTCATTACATTTTTTGTGTTTACTATTTTAAAAGTTTGCTTTATTTAAACCAACCAACATTTTGACCAGAAATATTGATATTTGCTGCAAAAGCATGCTTTAGAGTGACATTTGTTGTGTTATCTATATAGGATTTTTTTTATTGGTACTAATAGTGGGTATACATCAAGTTTTGCCTGACAGGCCCAGTTTTCTTGCCTGGGTTTTCTTTGTGCTGACTAAAGCGTTCGCTCATCACGCCGAAGACCCGGGTTCGATTCCCGACATGGGTACAATGTGTGAAGCCCATTTCTGGTGACCCCCGCCGTGATATTGCTGGAATACCGCTAAAAGCGGCGTAAAACCATACTCACTCACTCACTCACTCTGTGTGCTGACCAATTAAAGACACTGTTTCTTTTATTGTCCTTTCCAAAGATAAGTACATTAATAACAACCAATTTGTACTTAACACAAATTCTCTCCTCCCATAGCTTACACTTCCTTCCTCTGCACATAACATTATATGGCGGGGAGCTATTGATGCTCTGCAGCAATCTCTACATGTATCATCTGTCTAAATGAAAAGCACATATCGAGTCTCTCAACCAGCCAGATCTATTTATAGCTTGTGCATAATTGTGTAGCTATAAATAGCAACTGCTGACAACCCAAACACTATAAATGCTATCTCACGGTCCTTCTGAGCCTCTGACGGTGTATAAAACTGAAAGAGTGTTGGCCTCGGCATTGGGTCAAGTGTCTTTCCATAAACGAGGAAGTATTCGTGCATGGCAGATTCGACATCCTTAAACGTTTGAATGGAATGTCCTTGTTTACGCAGTTCATCATAAATAAAATCTAATCTCTCCATTCTGCGCCTGGGCCATTGTGACTGGGCTGCTTCGAGTTGTTTTAATGCTTTATTATGTCATTTACGCTCCTCTTCAACTTCTTTAGCGTTTGATTCCCTCAGAGTAGAAAATATATAATTACTCCCCGAAAAAGCTAGAGCATTAACAACAGCTCCACCGACCATCATCGCAATTGTTGCCATGTTTATATGAATATAAAATATTAAAATGTTTAATTACTTCATTATGTCTTCTGGGATAAGCCCTTGTTTGATGAGCATATCCTTTGTTGCCATTGCTAATCCTATATCATGAATCATCATACCGATATCGTAACCATTAAAATCTAGCTTTGGTGTTGTGGCTTTAGTAATCATTTTAGCTATACGGGCATAGCCAATGGCCAAGCCGCTGACCACCGCTGAATGATACGTTGCATTTACCAACATTTTACCGACTGTAACTGGAGTAGTCATGCTTTTTATAACATTACATGAGGGCTTAACTCTAATTGAACCTCATCTAATTTTTGAACTTGTGACGTTTTCTCTTCTCCGGTCTTATAAAATAACCATACCGCTGTTATAGCAACAACCCCTAGTACATAGGGAGCCCAAGTTTATTCGGACGACTATGTTCAGTCTTATGCATTAGTTTCGCCTTCCTCACCAACCCACCCTTCCTACCAGCTGCAACTTTTCGAGGATTCTTAGTCACTCTGACTTGTTGTGGTGATTGTGCAATCGCTGGTATTTCCTCATTCACTTGTTGTGGTATTTCCTCGTTCACTTGTTGTGATACAATCAGGGTTTGTACTTTCGATGGTATAATTTTCCCCAAAATATTGGGAACATTTTCCATCGGCTACCAAAGTGGCGACTCTTTCTCTATGTTTACCTGAAGATTTATCTACATCTTGATCTGGCTCATCTTTGAGCATTTGTTAGATGAGTTCGTCGCATTCCATAATGTAATACCTAAGGAGAGTCTAACATAATGGAATATAACATATCCAATACAGCCCGTAATAATGAACTGTTGTGAAAGAAAGAGGATTTCAAGCCACATTATTACACAATAACCGCTAATGTTCAATTTACTTGTGCTATCTTTTTGCTATATTTGCTATATTTTTGCTAATTTTTGCTTATTCTTGCTAAGCAATTGCATAAGCAGCTGGTTGATCGGTGTTTAATACGAGTTTACAATGCTTCGATGAAGCAAACAGTTTTCTGACTTTATCTCGCTCGAGCTTGGTATAAATAATATCATTTTCACGTAAACATTCCTCGAATGAATCTCGGTCTTTGCAATGAAACAGGGCTACCCATTTGGTCTGCTCTCTCAGATCTTTCAGGACAGAGTTGTATTTTTGAGTAAGTACCCAAACGCTATGTAGAGTATGCCAACCAGAGAATGCTAAATATGAAAACATATCTTTCTTCTTGGTGAGTTCTTTACTCGCGCTGCAGTCGTCTATTACGAAAAGGGTTGATTCTCCTTTGTATTTTTCGTGACATTCTCGTAAACAGTCTTGTAAACGATCGCCTGGATCAATAATATGATCGAAAACATCCTGATAATGACTTTGTAAAATATCTAGAATAAAAGCTGTTTTTCCACAACCTGTTTGCCCACAGATGATAGCGCAGTGCGGTTCTTTAGGTAAAAGATTATTAATAGATTGCTTGCATGAATCTTCCATTCTGTATATTCGCGTCCATAATAACATACAAATATATATTTAATTTACCATTGGATTCCTGGAGCTTTGTTATCTGTATAGTAACAACCTCGAAAGCATTTTCTATTCTTCGCCCACTACCTTGTAGTTGGTCATCATCCGTGGTTCGCATGTCGAGTCATAGCGCCTACCTCATGGTGAGGTATTCACCCATCGATACATCCCTGAGAGATAGATCTTTCGTGACCGCGTTAACTTCTGGGCCTCATTTTATAGAAGGGAGTTTTTTAATCTCATCCCATTGTTGATACGCTAGCATTCCTTGACTATATAGTTGATTAGGCACGCCCTCGATAGTCAATTCTACTTTTGTAATCTTGGGATTGTAGAACTTCTCGGTATTTCTTTTAAATGCTTCAGAAGGGTCCTTGCACAACATTAAAATGCCCTTCAACGATCTCGTGGGGATGTTTAGATTGATATTCCACATCGTATCTTTTTTGCTCCTCGTGATCTTTTGATGTCGAAGCAGACGATCGTACAAAATAGCTAAACTTCCGGTTTACTGGTTTCGAATTTGTCTGGCTAATTTGGGATCTGCTACCATATCATACTCCAGTGAGATATTGTCAATGGAATAGCTAGCATCTTCAGCAGCTCTGATTACTCTACCGTAGTCATTAAAAGTGAGTTCGCGTATTCTAACCTATCACCTAGGGATGCTTGATAGAAGGGCATGTGGGAATCTAGTAATTCAAAGTCGAGCGGAATATAGAATCGGCTACCTAATGCATCTTTTACGATTGTATTATCACCATTATCAGCACCCACACGCAGTCTCAATGTGTTCCGATTACTAATATCCTGGCCCCGAGGTTATAAAACTTCCCTGAGTACGATTTCATGCTCAAATCCGGTTTAGTGCTCAACTCAAAACTCAGACTCAATAAACGGAGGTTATAAATAATCTGAGTACGTTTTCGTGCTCAACTTGAGCATGAAATCCGTACGATCTCAAGTACGCTTTGGACCGTGCTCAACGCTGAGTTCGACAACAACAATGGCAGCTCACCTGCGACAGACGTGACAAGCGAGGCGGAAAACCCGTGTTCCGGGAGTCTTTCGAGATCGTTCTAACCCGCTGGAAGATTTAGATGTGGATGAAGTTTTTGAACGTTATAGATTTAGGCCAAATACTATAATATGTTTACTTGGTCTACTCAATATAACCAGAGCGACAGCTCGTAACTGTGCGGTTCCACCACTGTTGCAGTTGCTGGTATGCCTTCGCTTTATGGCGACAGGGGCTATGCATCTGCTGGTTGGGGACAGCCTAAACATTTCCCGATCTACAGCCGGCAGATGCATACACGCAGTTTCGTTGGAAATCTCCAAACTGTCAGGAAGGTTTATTAAATTCCCAGTTGGAGGAGACGCTGTACGAGCGAAGGAGGCATTCGGCAACATTGCAGGTACGTACATGGGATTTTCCCAATGTAAACACAAATAAATGATTTCATTGGTGTGATTCGCGTCAGTGCCATCTTGATTGGTCAGTAAAAAGAAAATGGGTCAGAGGTCGAGGTCATGTATATAAATAAAATAGAATTATAATCAAGCGATAGATCTTGGGATGGGCTGTAAATGAAACTAGTAAACATTGCCCAGTGCAGTATGCTATCTATTGTGACACCATGACACGTTTTACTTACAGGATTCCCTAACGTAGTAGGGTGTATTGATGGAACGTTCATCCGGATACAGCGGCCTACCAGGAACGAGGGAGACTTCGTGAACCGAAAAGGTTACCATTCCCTGAATGTACAGGTAAATAGGCATAATTTTACTCCATAACTATTCGTTATAATGTATGTGTTGGTTTAGGGGTGGGGAGATGTATGACTTTTGTAAGTCTTATGTATGTATTGTAAATTGGAGTTTAAATTTCTGATTTGCTATCCCACAGATGTGCTGTGATGCAAATGTCTGCATCACAAGTTGCAACGCCAGCTGGCCGGGGTCTGTACATGACAGCCGCATTTTCCAGACGTCAGCACTGTGCAGGCAATTTGAAAATGGTAAGACACGTTTTTAGAACAATTTGGTGAAAGTATTCTGCAAGTGAACAAGCATATAGTTTATCCTGTTACAAATAATATAAAATCATTTCTGTTATAGTAATTATAAGTTAAGATGTCAAGAAGTAGCAAGTTAATCATTTAGTAAATTTAAATCAATATGCAGACATATTTGTATGACATCTCATTTAATTGAAGTGACATACAAAGGGCAATTGCTTTGGAACCCTGGATATGACATGGCATAAAATCTCAGAATCTCCATACCCATTTTAATTAATAAATTAGATTGGATTCATATCCTCATTTTCAATTATTTTTTTCTCACAAGTTATTTTTTAACTAAACAATTCCATTAATTAGGATGAATGTATTTGTTCCTGGAAAAAGGTTTATTTCATTCATCATGTTCAAGATAAATATTGAAATATTGTAATTCTTGATGAGACAAATTTTATTCATACATTATATGTACTTTTTACCAGTATTCAAATCATAAAACAATCTGTTATTCTTTCCAAAAAAAATAACCTTATTTTATTATGTTTAGGGACAGTACAAAGGTTTTCTGCTGGGGGACTCTGGCTACCCACGTCGTTGGTTCCTCCTGACGCCTCTACTGAACCCCACCAACCGAGCAGAGGAACGTTACAATGGGTCATTGTGCAGGACAAGAGTGCTCATTGAGCAGACCTTTGGTGTCCTGAAACGGCGGTTTCAGTGCCTGCACAATGAGCTCAGGGCGACCCCAAGACAGGCTGTGACCTATGTTGTTGCATGTGTTGTGTTGCATAATTTGGGTATTGAAAGGGGGGATATTATAAATCATGATGAAAATCTAATGCCTCCATCTTCAAATGTGAATAATTATGTGCCACCGGTTACAGGTCAAAATGATGGAGCTGATGTGAGACGGCACATTATTCAGACATTTTTTAGTCGATAAGCATAGGAACATTTATTCCTACAATTTAATCTATCTGAATTTGTGATTTCAAATGTATATCATCTTAATTAATGATCGTGTGAGTGGTATTGCTCAGTAAGTCAGATATGTCATGACAGTTAGACTTGAATACATAATCAATTTGGTCATTTAATGTTTTATTCAGATACAAGCAGTGCACAAAATGGAACAATATTTAATTTGTATAGTCTGGCCATGCCAACAGTGCAGATTTATTTGTTGTTTAACTCCTTACTCAGCAATATTCCAGCTATATGACGGAGGACTGTAAAGTAATTGTGTCTGGACCAGACAATCGAGTGATTGATATCATGAGCATCGATCCACGCAATTGGGATCGATGACATGTATCAACCAAGTCAGTGAGCCTGACCACCCGATCCTGTTTGCCGCCTTTTACAGCAAGTAAAGTGGGCAAAATGTTATAATATAAAGCACATACTACGGTAGAAACTACCATTTTTAGTCCACAAGTCCTTACAATGATAACATATAGCCAAAACCTGAAAAATGGCAAATGTCTACAAGTTCTTTCATACATTGACAAGTGGACACTTTGGCACGAACTGCAGGACTAGTTCAAATTTCTAAGATTGCACATTGTGACAGAGCAATTCAATTCATATTTGTTTCTTAATTTCTAAATTTGAACAAGATAAAGAGTTAGCTGGAATAAAATGTTGTCATTTGTTGTGAGTAAAGATACAGAACTTATGCATGTTAGGATATTCATAATAGTCTGTATGAAGGACAAATATCTTGACCTCATGTTAGTATCAGCTAGACAAATGAAAAGTGCATGGTATTCATCATCTAGGTCTACACAAATTGCATAAACTATAAGTAAAGTCATGCTCACTAGACATTCTATATTTATGTCTTTCTGTTGGCACATCATACTTGCATAAATGCTGAATTATCATCACAATGTTAGAGTTACCTGCTTTAAAATGATCTTACTTAAGAGCACATAACAAAATAATCAGGATTTTTGGAGCAATTGCATATGTAATGAATAGTGATAAAACAATACAGACAGAGTTGATATTGTGTAACAATATTTCTTTGAATTATCATTAACTATTGTATCTGTCAAATTCAACTGATCATGTCCAAGCAAATCAGTAAATGTTGTTGTCATTCATATTACAGCTGGTGTATTTTCATATCTAATATGATACTATTATTATTCTACATAACTCTCTTTAGTAATTTTGATAATGATTATTCTTCAGTTGGACATGATTCGACAAGAGAAACACCAAATTCCGCATTCATTTTTAGTTGGTAGTAGACTGATTTCCTCTGCAGCATTTGAATTTCAATGTCTAATTTCTTTTGATTTTCTTCTAATAATTCAATTTCCAGTTTCAGCTTCCTTTGTTCAAGTTTGATCCTTTCCGTGTCCTGTATCATGTTGTCATATGTTGCCTCAGCTTGTGTTCTTTTTCGTTTGCGCCCGGTCTTTTTGTGTGTAAATATAATGAGACTGACTTGTGTACTCTGCGTCATCTTTGGGAGTATAGTATTGTTGATAGCATTATGAGTGTTAGTGTGACAAGACAGTGAATATAATGAGACTGACTTGTGTACTCTGCGTCATCTTTGGGAGTATAGTATTGTTGATAGCATTATGGGTGTTAGTGTGACAAGACAGTGAATATAATGAGACTGACTTGTGTACTCTGCGTCATCTTTGGGAGTATAGTATTGTTGATAGCATTATGGGTGTTAGTGTGACAAGACAGTGAATATAATGAGACTGACTTGTGTACTCTGCGTCATCTTTGGGAGTATAGTATTGTTGATAGCATTATGGGTGTTAGTGTGACAAGACAGTGAATATAATGAGACTGACTTGTGTACTCTGCGTCATCTTTGGGAGTATAGTATTGTTGATAGCATTATGAGTGTTAGTGTGACAAGACAGTGAATATAATGAGACTGACTTGTGTACTCTGCGTCATTTTTGGGAGTATAGTATTTTTGATAGCATTATGGGTGTTAGTGTGACTGAAATATAATTCTAATATATTTCCTGTCTCTTAGTATTTTCAGCTTGTGACAAGACAGTGAATGTATTGTTTGGGGTAATACATGTATTAGCATCTTGCTATGAGTGTTTTCATTTCTATGCTTTCAATAAATCATACAAAGGTCATAGTTTATTAGTAGTAGTATTATACTAGTATTATACTAGTATTATAGAAGGATTATGCAAACATAAATTTGATCTGTAACTGCAATCTTGAATATACTGAAATAAACTCTGAAAATGTTCATTATTTAGTATAGTAATATGTTCTACAGATATTACTCAGATCCTTCTGATGTACCTTCTGCTGGGTTGTCTTGCTCATCAATGTGATGTGCTTCACCTTGCAGACCTGTAAATAAGGGGATACAATTTTTAACATTGAAAAATGAAAAAAATTATTGTATCATTTTCAGACATTTATATATTTAAGCATTCAATAAAGTCACAAAATAAAGTTATACTTTAATGTTATTAATTGAGAATAATTACATTGATTGTATACAATGTGTCAGCTCAGACAATAATGTTATGACAGGAATAGCAAACTATGCTCTACAATACATGTTGGACATTTTGGTATAGATACATGTCCCATGTTATAGATGTGATTATGTATAATAATACATGTTAATAGTATTCAGACATATGATGATATGTATTACCTCCTGGTGAAGCGGCAGCTACATCGCCATCATGAATGACTGAAGTGAACAGAATATTAAAATACAGTAATGCAGCTATTTTAATAATTTTCGGGATAGAATTGACAAAAACAACTGAAATTGTGATGAGTGATTAATTTGATTATCTGACAAATATTAATCATTATTTGAATGATTTTGTACCAGTGCAATTCACAACAAATGTATTCATTACTTTGATCACAGGCATAAAAAAGTTGTCTGAAATTTTTGTTGTTGTTTCCTTTGTCTTTTGACAGTACTTGATTTGTTTGTACTATATTTGATAAGTATTTTTGTCATCCAAATACATTGTCCCAGGTGATAGGTCTCACCATAACCAACATTAATGAGAAATAGTTGGCTTTAAAATTTACATTAATCTTTTACATATTGAACTGCCCATACCATCAGCGTCAATACCATGTTCTAGGCCATGAATACCTGGCCTCCCCTCCAAAGACTGACAAAGGACCTCGTCCGCGTTGGACAGTGCTGGGAGTGGAGGCCCTCCTCCTCCAGTTGTGGCCATTGACCTTCTGAGGCCGTCGATCTTGCTTTTAGCTACAATACAAACTTACAGTTTAGTTCAGTAACAATAACATATATATTGAAATATTAAATTTGGGTTTCATTGACATGTGTTAATGTGTTATTGAGGGATAAACATGTGTTTCATAAATTATATAATAACCATTTAATACATTATGATGGAGTAACAATGTTGACACAATATGCCTCTTAGTATTTTTCTAATATAAAAGAGTACCTCTTTGTTTCAAATTGAAGTACTTCTTCTTCACTTCAAAAGCCTCCCTTTTGGCATTGATGTGTCTTCTGAAAGTATATAAAAGAAGAGATATAATTTGAAAATTAATATACAGAACATGTTTTCTTCTTCACAGTCAAGGAATTGTGGAGGGGAAAGCCCATGAAAATACATGTCTCCATTTAGATTACAGGTATATACAATAAAGTTAATGCAACGAAGAATCACATTTTCGACTGTTTACTTATGCAAATCTGGGCACCACATTTCAACGCATGATCGAATACAGGACTTGTTGCGATATGTCACGCCTACGCTTGAGAACTTTATAACTTAATTACCCCAACCTCCACTCGAAATTGGTTTGAAAAGAATCCACTAAAACCGTTTGGAGGATGTCCCTTGACCTTGACCCTAACTAGATCGTATGAATATTGATTATGCATAATCCAAAACAGGAAGTAGTGTAACCAACATAATTCTCATGTATCCCACCACAATTAGTGGAAAGCGAAGACACAGCCCCCCCCCCCCCCCACCCCCCTCCTTACTCTTTTACTCGCTTATGACAGGTATACTTTGTTTTACCGAACACAGTAAAAAAATCAGCATCGATCAATCCTGTGTCATAAAAGTTGAATGAACACTTTGCGCAAGACGTATTTATAACTTAACTACAGCGATAATATAGCGTACCATGCTGCAAATGATATTAAACAACAATAACATATGAACAACTTACGTGTTGAGGATGTCCGTGATGCTTTGCCATCCATCGGTCCGCTGTCGATGGATGGACTTCACACCGCTTCCCTTTATTTCACCGAACAACAGTTGCTCTCGCTGAACAACTTCCTGGATGAGACAAACCTCCTCCGCTTCTGACCACTCCTTACCCCGCCTTCGTGATTCGGTCACGCCCTCCGTTGCCATTGTAAATAAGCAGACGACAACATCCGGGTTGTTTTCTTACCATTCTTGACGGAAGAGTTCCAAATTGCCGCTTATATCATAAACAAAGAGTCCTTTGAGCATGCTCAAGCTGAGCGTGAGTTGTTCTCAGCTGAGTACAGACTCAAGATGTTTTATAACCTCTGCTTGAGTACAAATCTCAACTGAGTACGAACTTGAGCATGAGCATGTATTTGAGCACGAACCTGAGTTGAGCACGAAATTTTTTTTATAACCTCGGGACCTGGTACTGTAAGTCTTCCCGCTCTTTATCCGTCAATAATCAAAATCTCATTACCACTAATTTTAATCGCGATTTTCTTAACGATAGCAGGGGCGGTCGGGTAGCCTAGTGGTTAAAGCGTTCGCTCGTCACGCCTAAGACCCGGGTTCGATTCCCGACATGGGTACAATGTGTGAAGCCCATTTCTGGTGTCCCCCGCCGTGATATTGCTGGAATATTGCTAAAAGCGGCGTTAAACCATACTCACTCACTCACTTAACGATAGCAGGCTCCCTGTAAACGTCGGTAGAAGTCAAACTAATCGTAAATGCTAGTCGGACAGTTCCAGGAGGATTAGGAAAAAGGGAACCAGAAGCATTTGATTCTGATCAATGGTACTCGGGTTATTAGTTATAGTTACAGACTGGGGAATTGCTTTGACCCCTAATGGATCTCGAAGTCTACATGGTGGGTTTAACTTGCGTCCGTATTGCGAAGACATTGTTATATTGAAATTATGTAACCTTATGTTTAATATAAAAATGGATGATTTTAATCTAGATAACATAACTGATACTAGTACAATCGAAGAGGGTACTGATGAAACCAGCTTTGGTGGCATGA